CATAATATAAATATATATATATATATATATACCTAGGTTTCATGATATTAAACTAAAAATTCATATTAGGTGAGCACTCCCAATGACCTTGACATATGTTGTAAATGACCTCCGACAGGTTTTAGTCGTTTCTCGTTAAAAAGTTATTAATAGTCAAAGTTAGTAACTATTTTACTGCTTTACATGAAGAGTCAGATAACTTTAAACAGAGAGAGAGAGAGAGAGAGAGAGAGAGAGAGAGAGAGAGAGATGAAATGGACGAATTCAAGGAATACAACTTCCAAAACGACTTTTAGCCCTCTTAGGGGCACCCAACTTCCATGCGAAGTGACTTTCGAAGTCGTGTGCCCTAATAATAATCCCCAATAAATTAATAACAAATAAAAACATAAATAATCCAAAGGCGATCAAAAGATTAAATTGAGTTCAATGAGGCTATGATTTATGCGAGTCCTGGTTTATACTAAATATTTCATTAGAAGGAAAGTATAAACTGTAGGAATATTAAAGAATCTGTATGAATCTCGATTATATAGTAAATCGCAAAAACAAAAATTATGCAGACTTTATATTACATTATTCTTATTATGTATACTAATTGATTCTGTTAATAGAATTTAAATTGAGCTGATATAATCAAGATACTTAATAAAATATTCATTATTTTATTTTTATGAATTCTTTCTTTTATTATACATATTTAGCAATTAAAATCGCATATACCGATATTAATTATTCAATTCTCCAGGAAAATATTCCAAGCACGTATCTCCAATTGACTATCATGACGATTAAATTTCTGTTAAATTTTAAAATAATAAGAAATAAATTGTAAAAATATCGATATTCAAAGCCACATATTACGAGGAAAGCGTTTGAAAGGCAGTAACAATATAAAGCGAATGCCCTTTCGCTCGTCCTACTCTCCCGCGTATATATATATATATATATATAAGTTCTTCAATTTACAGTAATTGGTGAATTTATTACCGTTCCAAACTCTTCGCTTCTACGTCAGCACCTAGGAAGAGTTAAATAGCTTTAATTACGACTTATCCTCTCTCAGAGCCGGACGAAGTAATGTCGTCTTCATTGGAGATGAAATTGTTAAATACTAAAATTAAAATAAGATGATAATAATCAGGCAAACTGTTTTATAAAAATCGTAAAAATAACGTGTCTAAAATATTTAAAAGCTAATGTTTTATATATATAAAAGTTTAAAGAAATAACCATAAAAAATAAAATCGAAAAATAAAAAATAAAAAAAATATTACATATATATAAATTTTT